AAGTTGATTCTAGCATAAGTCAATTCGATTATTATCAGCATCTTTATACATCTGAACTTTATTTGTCTTTGGGAATCAGAAACATTACATGTAAGTATCTGAGAATAATAACATCAGCAAATTACATACTGCAACACTGTATATAGTATATACTATAATGATAAACTCCACTGCCATCTAATCAATTTTGATTCATAGCCATCCTATACAAGAGGTCTGATACTGTAACTCACCAGGAGACAGCTTCATCATTCTCAGAGTGACTGGTGGATTTAAACTGCTGACTTTGTGGTTAGCTGCCCAATGCCTACCAACAGCACCATCAAGGTTCCTTATTATAATGGCAAAATATTAAAAAAAAAAAAATCCCTGCCCAAACTCAGATAATTTTATGTGGTTCATTATAACTCAAATGCATCTCAAGTCAAAGAATACCTGTATTGGTTTCCCTTAGTTTCTAGAACATGCCTAGCTCTTTCCAACCCCAGAAACCTTGTAGCAGAACTCTTTTTGCTGTCTTCCTGAAGCACCTAGTCTAGTGCTTCTTGGATGGCTACTCTATCAGACACTTAGGTCAGTATTGTCTCCATCTCAGAGAAGCTGTCTCTGACCACATGGTTTCAGTAGATCCTCTCCTCTGACTTTCTTCTTTATTTGTTGTTTAGGTAGCATTTGTTACAGTGCCCAGTGTAGTTGCTCAATTTGCAATATGAATGACTAGGCTTAAAGTGAGGCTGGCATGTAAAATCCCATTTCTCACTAGAGGCCTGTAATCAAACTGTTCATCCACATGATTCATGTCTTTAAAAATCCATTTACACACTGAACCTGTAAATAACTTCAGGATTAAGTGAAATGCTGCTAGAGGAGACTTGAGTAACTGGTAGGCATTTGAAAGATGACTTGGAGGTTGACATACATGGTTTGAAAAGTCGTTGGTTTTTCCCTTTGTTATTTATACGCAAATAGGCTTAGGAAGCCCATCTTATGGTGGTTTGGGCTCTGGTCTCCTGAATTTATTTCTGGAGATACTCAGATTTTGTTTCTCTTGCTTAATAATACAACTATCTGAATTCCTAACATAAACCAGAATTCCTTAAACTGAGTTGAATGCTTCCTTGAGAGGGTTTTCATTGTGTTCATTAGCATGGTGTGGCAGAATGCAAAGGACTCTGTACCAGAAATTGGTTTTAGATTATTGTCCTTCCCTTGATTACTTTGAAAAATGAAAACAAACACAAAGCCTTATTTTCCCTAGCTATAAATGAAGGGAATTGCATGAAGTGGTTTCCAGTGTTCTTCCCAGTTCTAATTGTTATGAAATCTCTCACTCTTGGAAAGAAATCATGGATGCTAATACTGGCAATAAACACAAAAACTAATTGATGGTTAAGGAAGCAGACCCTCTCCCCAAAGATGCTCTGATGGAGAAGTAGTAAAAATTCCTATAGACAACCTCAGCAAGCAGAAAGGGAATGATAAATTCCTTGGATGCTTAGAACCCTTCAATGTAACCTCTTTTTGCCTTTTGGCTGGCCTTATTTTCATTTATTAGAAAGTTTGCAAGGAAAAAATACCATCAAATTTAATAGTTTAAAAAGGGCTTTGATGATTTGTTCTTCACCCAACCAAGAATGAAAAAGGTGAATTAGTTGAGATTCATACGTGTCCCCTTCTAAGCTGTGGCACTCCAAAAAGACTCTTTTTTTATTTAGATGCAAGCTTGAGTGGCTTGCTTGGTCATTCAGAAGAGTAACCCTTACTGAAGGAGGCAGCAGGCAAAAGAGCAAGAAAGAAATCCTTCCTTCCTTCCTCCACTCACAGGTATTAGAAAGCCGAGTCAGTTAGGAAGACTAAGTAAGTGCATGATTTTAGTTTGAAATTCAGTTTCACATCCCTTTTATTAATTGTTGCTACAGTGGGCCAGCCTTTGTACTGCATGCTTATCTCCCAGCATTGTTTCCGAAACATCCTTTGGATTGAGTGGTAGTATTCCCATTTTGTTATCCTACTTGCTAAATCAAGGCCCAGGTTGCCAGTGATTGAATTGGAATTTGAACCAAGCAAATGAATAATGAAAAGTACTGGTGTGGCTCTGTAGGATAAGCACTGGACCACAAGGTCAACTTGAACCACATGGTTGGTGGTTCAAATTACCAGTCGCTCCTCGCAAATCCTATACAGGATCGCTGTATCAGAACCAACTCAGTGGCACTTAACAACTACAAATGAGTAATGAATCTTTTTTTGACCCTATAATGTAACTAGCAGCATTTTTAGCATGTAAATGATAGTTGAAAATTAATGACACCCAATCCACAGATTCTGTGTCCTTTTTTCTAGAGATCCTGGGTGTTTTCTTTTTGTCCAGTCATATCAATACCCTCCCCTTCTAGAATGCTATGTATAGACTATTATTTTTAATATCTGAGAAGTGAAATCAAACCCTGTGTTAAAACAATTAATAGTTAAATTTTGCATGATCACATAGTAGCATTTCACAAAAGCATGACCTTATTTGTAGCTTAGAATCCTCCTGACCTGTTGCTTTAAATATTTTAATAACACAGGTTCCCCCCTTTCCCAGCGAGGCCCATTTTTCTCTCCAATCACTTTAATTATGTTAGCTAGAATCCTGTTTCTCACACATCTTCAGTTCTCAACCTTGTTAAAATTAATCATATAATCCCCCTTTAAAACATAGTATTACATCACCATAGTAACACAGTATCCAAGCTTTATAGATAAAACATAACAGCCATAAGAAGGTAGGGTTTGGTGTCCCCTTGACAGCTCTGCAACTTTTATAGAAATGTGTTCCTTCTCCTGGCTCGTGTAAGGTAGAGGGGATAGCATTACTTATACCTGTTTTATTACCGTATTGCTTTAAAATTGCCACCTTGTTTTGTTCACCCCCCTAGTTAAATAAGGAGAGGAGAATAGTTACTTCTCTTTCTGAATTCCTCTCTGGTACTCTCTCACCACTCTCCAGGGAAGGGATTGTTTCCTCAAATATGACCAGACAGGGTCCATTGACCATTGTATGTGATTTCTTGATAGTCCCTTTAATTTTGATTTTCATATGTGGTTTTTTTTATAAAGGAGCTTTAGAAAGAAAGGTTACCCCTATATTTGGAAACTTAATACATGTCTTGTTCAAAGACCCAATAAGAATTCTGCCTTTGCAAAAGGCCTGGTGAACCATGATTTTGCATTTTAATTGATAATTTAGGAAATAAATTCTATGAGAAAGCATTGATTTGGATGGTTTCTTAATATGAGTATTTTAAATAAAATACAGTTTGATAGTCTTAGAGTTGATGAGTCCTTTGAGTAATTCAATTTCAAATTTTACGTAGTGGTTACGAATCGGGCTGCGAACCTTAAGGTCAGCGGTTTGAAACTACCAGCCGCTCCGCGGGAGAAAGATGAGGCTTTCTACTCCCGTAAGGATTTACACCCTCGGAAACCCTGTACAGGGTCGCTATGGGTCGGAACCGACTTTACGGCACTTAACAACAACAACAACATATTAGTCTAAATTTATATATAAGGCTTTGAACTTCTTACAAACGAATCCAAGCTAACTGGTAAACTGAATTAAAAAGTGGATTTGTAAACATTTTGTAACTTAAAAAAAAGATATTGCCTAGATCAATCTGATTGATTATATGCTTATTATTATTATTATTTAAAGTAGATGTTTTCTATTTACATCAAAGTATTTTTGGTATGGTTTATTTTTGCATTGAGGCAGTACTTTTTAGCATTTTCTCTTTAATGTCTTTCTTTAAAACATTGTTTTCATTTCTTAGAAAGCACTTTAACTTGCTAGACAATTTGTTATTTCTGTCCTCTAAAATGTAAAATTCTGAAAGATACAGAAATTTAGTAAAATGATAACTGTGCCCTCTTTTCTTTCTAATTCCTTCACTTCTGGAGCCTCCAGCTCTGTGACTTTGATTCAGTTACCTAACTATTCTGTCCTTTAGCTTCCTCTTCTGTGAAATGGGACCACTCACCTAAATTCCAGGGTTATTGTGGGGTGAGATGGTATATATCAAAAGCTGGGCAATGAATAAGGAAGATTGAGAAAGAATTGATGCCATTAATTATGGTATTGGAAAAGAATCCTGAAGATACCACGGATAGCCTGAGGAACCAACAAATCTGTGTTGAAGAAGTACAACCAGAATGCTCCTTAGAAGCTAGGAGGATATGAGATTTTGTCTCATGTACTTTGGACATGTTATCTGGAAGGAGCAATCCCTGGAGAAGGACATCATGCTTGGTAAAATGGATTGATACAACGTGTGCCACAGTTAGCTCAAATAGGAATGATTATGAGAATGGTGCAGGATCAGGCAATGTTGTACATAAGGTCACCATGCATTGAAACTAACTTGAGACCACCTAACAATAACAGCAGGCCTATACACATGTAGCTTTGTGACTGGCACATAGTAGACACTCACATTCTGCTTTGCAGTCACCATTACTTTCTGAACTAGAGGAGTAATTAGGTGAATAGTGTTAACAGCAAGTTAGAGTGGGCTTTGCAGTCAGAGAGGCCTAAGCTTAAAGTCTACCTTTTTGCCACTTTCTAACCGGAATCTTAGGCAATACCTTTCTGGGGCTATTTCCTCTTCTGTGAAATGAGGTTAATAAAGTGTACCTTTCAAGATTGATGGGATGATTAACCAAGCTACCTCAGTGCCTGCACTCAATAAGTGGGAGAAGTTACAAGAGCTCCGACAGTTTTGAGTTCTGAGTTGTTCACTAGAATGGACAGATCGCTGTCTCTCTCTTTTTTTCCCTGACTCACTGTCTTATTTCCTCGGAGTGTGTAAATTTTAAGTTTGTTTATAAAGAGTTCCACCGAGAAAGGAAATGTTACAAGTTCAACGACTTGTAGTGATTAGATATTTTATCAAGAAACTTACTGCACATTCATTTTCCCTTTGTTCTCTCTCTGCTGCAGCCTCACAGTTAGCCAAGTTGGCCAGAACTTCACGTTTGTGCTCACTGACATTGACAGCAAACAGAGATTCGGGTTCTGCCGCTTATCTTCAGGAGCGAAGAGCTGCTTCTGTATCTTAAGGTAAGGAAGAATGGCTTTTGGCTATTGGCTAATTCTATGAGACAATGTCAGCGTTTGCGTTGTTCTTCCATAATTAAATTTTCCAGCTGTTCTTTTTAATTTTCCTATCTGCTTCCCACAAGTCACTGCACTTGGGGAGAAGGACTTCAAAATGTTGTTCTTGCACTTTAAGTTCTGCAGATAACTGTATTTATTTATTTGTATCACATCCCTTGGGTGGGAAAGGGATCGTCACTTCTGTGTAGTATGTGGAGGCTGTATAGTCAGCGTGACTTCGGTTCCCCCTGCTGTTATCTGGAGCTGTCAGAAATTAGCCTGTTAGGCTTTTCCTTGGACATTTTGTGTATGTAAGATTATTAATAAAGTATGTGTCTCTAGTTGAGGACGTCTCGCAGACACTGATTGTGTCCTCCTCAAAGTAACACCCTTGCCCTCTTTGGGTCAATGAGTGAGTGAGTGACTGTTTCCCTAACTTGGCTACATCTGAAGATGTTTGAAAAAAAAAAAAAAAGGCAGAATCCTGTAAGAAGAGTTCTTTAGGTCTTCTAAAATCCCCTTCATACACCAGAGCCGCACTTGCTTAATGCTCTGTTTCCTCCTGCCAGAGGGGTAGACGTGTTCGGTGGTGGAAGGATGTGTGTAAATCTGAGTTTGGAACTGCTGGCTCTGTGAGCTCCTGCTGGGAGCTTCCTGAGGGGGAAGTAAAGGCACCTCACACACTCTCCTCTCCATCTGCCTCAGTTAAGTAGGTGTCAGAGGGGCCTGCCTCCTGTCTCTCTCTGCTCATGTGGAGCAGTCTAGGGCAGGACAGCAGGGAGGCGCCCCTGACAAAACCCGGGTCCCCAGTCCTGGGCTTGGGCTAGGGCCTGGGGATAAAAGGCCAGACCCACTATGAATTCCAGAAAAGGATAGTTCTCTGGTGTACTAGTCTGTACTTTCTTTTCCTCAACAACAAAACACCCACCCCCCTCCTCAACCTCATCCCTCAAACTCCTGGGGGAAGTGGGGCTGGGCTGACTATTTGAAGTTGTTTTGGACTGCTATACTTTTACACTTCTCTACACAAGTCAGTGTTATTATTTTTAATCAGTGAAATCAACTCTCTCCAGTGCTACTAGCCAGCCACTGCTGGAAAGACCTTAGGAAGAAGATACAACCGCTCCTTTGTGACATGAAAGTGTGTACAGCTTTTCTCAAGCAAGTAGCCTAGGTCTGAGGATATAAAGAGTCATCTTTTGATTTAGTGGTGTTGGTTCTTTTTTTAAAAAAAGATTTTCTTTTCTATTTATGTCTAATGTTATCTTTTAGTGTTAGCCAGGATACTACATGTTTACATGCAGGCAGTCCCCAGGTTCTGAACTTCCAATTTGTGTAGAATCCATAAATACGAACCTTTCCCCAGAAAGCCTATTATATTAAAATTTCAAGTTACATACAATGGTTTATGATAACATAGAGGAGCTGATTTGATGCATGTGTCAAAACATTATTATTGCTAAAGTATCATGTTAATGATGTTTTTAGTATATCTAGAAATGTTTTTGTTATGTTCTTTATGCATAGAAACATATACTGTGTACTAAGACAAACATTTGACTAACTGATGTTAGATGTGAATTGTATCTAACTGCTCTGACTTAAGTACAAATTCAACATAATGATTTAGGAATGGAACTTGTTGGTAATCCAGGGATTGCCTATATACACGTTGTTGTTGTTATGTGCTGTGGAGTCGGTTCCGACTCATAGCGACCCTGTACAGGGTTTCCGAGGCTGTAAATCTTTACGGGAGCAGAAAGCCTCATCTTTTTCCCTTGGAGTAGCTGGTAGTTTTGAACTGCTGACCTTGAGGTTAACAGCCCAATTTGTAACCACTACGCTACCAGAGCTCCTTTAAATTCACTTAGAGGAGGTAAAGACTTAAATTGAGTTCTTGAACTTTTGTAGATAGGCTCTGTCCCCCAGAACATTTTGGATTACAATGTGTCTTTTTTCCTTTTCATGCTGAGTTGTGAATGTGTGATTCTGTTGTTTGAATTGTGTGTCTAGCATTTACAGTCATAGATTTCATGTTTGTGAGAAGCTAGTTGAATAGCCTCTGTTCTTATGTAGAATGAAAAATAGCAATTGGTGTGTTTTGTGTCTTTTAGAATCTTTTGTATCTTTTAGAACTGTGGAGAAAATTTGGTGGTTTCATTCATTCGCTTATCCTCAGTTAAATGCCTACTATTAGCTAGTTCCTGCTCTTGAGAAGTTTCTAAGACTAGTTGGGGAGATGATGCTCACACAATAGGATGTTACATATTATAAGTCATCCCACGGCAAAGTTTGTCTTACTTTTTCCAGTGCCAGAGGATTGTGGTTAAAAATGGAGTCCTGTGTCAATTCAAGAACATGTATTTTGTGGGCATTAAATATGTGAGGGGGAGCTTTCTTTATCTTATTCAACTGTGCATATATAAAGAACACATATAACATAACTTCCCCTGTGTTTGGCTTGGGAATAATGCTTTGTCAAAGGTTGTTTTGTGTGTGTGTGTGTGTATGTAATATATATATATATATTACATACACACACACACACACACATATACATGTTGTTGTTAAGAGTCAATTTCGACCCATAGTGACCCTGTATAGGGTTTCCAAGGAGCAGCTAGGGAGCTTGAACCACCGACGACCTTGCAGTTCAAACGACTTTGCAGTCTGATGCACTAGCCCACAGCGCCACAACAGGACTCTCTCTCTCTCTCCATATATATATGTATGTATATATATATATACACACACACACACAGACAGTTAAAAAAGAAAAACAAAGCTACCCCCTGTACTGCCCTCCTTCCCCCATTGATTCGGACTCATAGAGACCCTGTATAGGGTTTCCAAGGAGTCGCTGGTAAGCTGAACCGCAGACTTTGTGGTTCAAACCGACCTTGCAGTCTTGTGGGGCCACCATGAATAAAAGGATCTTCTGTTAACCTTGGATATCTGGTTGGTGATATACCCTACAGAGAGTGGGGTGGTCTACCAAAAGAATGAGGGTTGGGTCCAGGTGATTATTAGTGTTGTCTCCTTTCTCTTTTTGCTGCATAGTCAGCCTGGACCTTGAGGTCCAGTTACCCTTCACAGTGTGCTCAGTGCTCTGGCTGAAGTGTGTTGATAAGGCACCCTTTACTTGTACTTTGCATTTCCTCTCAGTCAGGGCATCTCTGTAGGCATAGCCTCCTTTGTTTTAGTTTCTTAGAGTCACCTCTTCTCACTTCTGCCTCTCTCAGCTCAGATACTTCCGAATCCAGATGAGTTCATATACCTTCTCTGCCTTCACCCATCTACCCATACTCAGCCTGTAGACCCCTCCAGCAGAGATAATTATTCCTTCCTGTGCCCTGCACCCCAACATGCTTTGCATACTTCAGTTATGCACTCATAAAGGCTCAGCCTTCTGTTCTTTTTCTCCTATTGGACTGCTAACTCTTTAGGAGTAAAGGCAGTTAATCAATGTTGTATCCCCCCAGCATATAGTGTACATGATTTTCAGAGAAAAGGAGACACATTACAAATGGAAAAGCAGGGTTCCCAAGGCTCTGAGTGAAAGGACAGTGTCTCATGAGGCACTAGTTCAAAGAGAAAATATGAAATGTGGTTATTGGCAGTAGCGTAGTTCATATTGCCAAACTCATTTCATATTAGTTGTAAGAAGTGCATCTTTGAATCTCACAGTGGCAGTCCAATGTTTAGTGATAAGAATTGTGTCCATAAAGGATTATACAACAAATATCCTAAAATTTAAACTTAATTTCATAATGAAAGATTCTTGAGCATCCTTTATACAATTTCATTTATTTATAAAGTTCATTTTTATTGTCTCCTATCCCCACAAGAATGAAAAGCTTCCTTAAGGCAGCAGATTTGTATACTTTTGTGTGTGTGTATATTCAAAGTTTTTCATGAATGTCTGCACATAGTAGGTACCCACTCAGCAATGCTTGTTTGATGCAAGAATGAATCTTTGGGAAAACCTTTGTTTAAGAAAAAAATTTGAAAAGTTATTCTGAACTCTTATCATCAGCTAATCTTCACAGGAATGTAGCTACTAAAGTATTTATAAAGATAGGCACTGGCCCACAAGGTTGGCAATTCAAACCCAGCAGCCACTCTCAGAAACCCTGTACAGGGTTGTTATTAGTCAGAACTGACTCTGTGATACTTACTACAAATGAGGCAGAATCAACTTGATAGTAGTAAGTTAAGTTTGACTTTTTTTGGATAACATGGGGTCCTGGTGTGATGCTGAAGCACTGGACTGATAATCACATAGTCAGAGGTTCAACCCCAACAGCCGCTCCTCAGAAACCCTATATGGGATTGCTTTGAGTAGTAACAGACTCGATGGCACTTAACAACAACAGTAACAATAGTTTTTGGGTAAATTAGTCATTCTTCATTTTATACCCAGGAATGTAAGAGTATTTTAAGATTTTCAGGTAACACTGAGTCTGATGTGATACAAATATTGAAATTTTCACTATTATAGAACACAGAGACTTAGAACCAAGGTTTTTTCCTGCCTTCCAAATTACCCAAATGGCATGTGCTCCATCATGGCCAAGTTGTAATGAAATGTGTTATTTTTATAGCCAACTTTTCTGGTTTGGAATGAGCAGAATGAGCACAAGAGTTCAGTTGTAACTTTGAGGGGCAATAGGAGATATTCCATACAATAACTTCTGTAGTTCTTATAAAGGAACTTTGAAAATACTTAACAATTTTCTCCTTTATATTTAAGAATCTTATTTAAGCTTTTAAGAATGCTTGAGTAATTATCCTTATACCCAAATAATACTGTTTGAAACATAATATATATTTTGGGAGGAAATAACACTTTTCCCCCATCAAATCTAAATTATTTTAGTTTAGGATTTTAAAACTTTTATTTGGTTAGTAACTTTTATTTGACTTTTTAGTTTGGTTAATGAGTACTAATATATACCTGGATC